AATTATAACTAATTTGATAAATTAAATAACATTTAATGAATTATTATCATAGAGAACCATGAGACAAAGTGTTTATTTTAAGTTAACATAAAATATGACATAAATTCAATAGTATAATTATTTTACCATTATTTAAAACAACTGTAACATACCACAGATTTATCAGCTCTTTTAAACTGAAATTTATTGGTTTTTGAAAAGAAAGCATTTACACCATCAACCACAACTGCAGTTTTGAACCTATATTAATAAAACAAATTAATTAATTAAACAGTCAAACTTCAAAAACTCTTGTTTTTGAAGTTTTTCAACCTCCTATATGCTTTGATCCAGAAGCAGCCACACTATAGTGATCATCGACCCCTAAAATTTTATAATTCTCTTATCGACCCCCTCTTTAAAAAATTACACGAAAAAACGTTACTTGTATCTTAAATTATTTATTTTTATTAATTATTTATTTATGTAAATCAATGAGAGGGATGTGGCCCCGGAGTTCCACATTCAATTTATTTCTCTGCTTTGTTAAAAGAGAATTAGCAGGGCTATAGCTATATTCAACCATACATGAGCTAAGGAATGCAAAATTTTTGACATTTTGTCAAATATTTATATTTACTCAATAAAATTATTAAAAAACATCTATGCTTTAAGGTCAACTGAAATTCACTGACTTATTTTCACAAGTATCAGTCAATATTTTTACCTTGGAAGAAATTGAGGTGATAATTACTTCCAACGCATAATTTAAAATAATCACTTAATTTTTAATGACGCTTTGCATTATTTTCATTCTTAGTCGGTTGTAGTTGTTTATCTTATTGTCATAATATAGTTTAAAAGGATTGAAAATCTTTCAATAACAATGAAAACTTAAACAAGTTTCTCTTAACTTGAAAGCTTAATTGATTATTTTAACTTGAAAGCTTAATTGTCCATGATTGAATTTGTGTAATATATTTTCTATGGAGATGTATCTGGATATCATTAAACTTTGCAATTACATCTGCCACATAAAATATATATGTATGTTTTTTTAAAACTTTTTATCACTTAAGGCAGGATTGATTTCTGTAAGAAATTCTGTAACTGTTTCAAACAATTCAAAGAGTCTTTGTGAACACTTTCCTCTTGACATCCATCATATTTTGGTGAATAATAATACAGAGCTCTTATGGTCCTTAAAAAATTTAAAAAGTCACATCAATATTGTTATAGAAAGTGACAAATTTCTTTTTATTATTCACTTTACAATTAAAGATACAAAACTATAGATTCCCTAACCAGATTTATTTATTAGGAAATATTTAGCAAGGTAGAGAATAAAAATTTATTATAATACATCTTAGTTTTTTACTTTTGTTACCACTTTTTTAAGTTTTTTGGGACTATGCAAATCCTATAATAATTCGTTTGATGGTTCATCTTTTTCCTTGCAAAGTTTAACAAACAGCCATGATTTAAGAGGCTAAATTCAAATTTAATATGCAACCGTTATGTATTATAAAGATCGTCACTGAAATATTTCACTTCTAGATAAGTTCTATGTAAGACACAATGAATGGTACATATATTAGGTACCTTCTTCTTAAGTAAAGTGGTAAGACCTCAGTACCAGTTTACTCCCCTCACTTGCAAAAGAAGTTGCTATAAGTTTCTAATCAGATTTACTATAAGTTTCAAATGGCAATCTTGCACCTGAGCCATCTTGTAACAAAATGGAGCAAGAATCATTTCTCACAAGTCTAAGAATAATTGCGAAATGCTCAAATTTTGAATGTAAAAAAGAACAATAATTATTTTAAAAAAATACACTGGAATAAGAAATCAAATAAAGTATAATTTATTATAAAAAGAGCTTCGATGGCTCAGTGGTTAAGGCACTGAATTGCCATTGTGAAGAACTGGGGTTCGATCCCCAGGGGCAGCAGGAAGCCCACCCAGTTTCAGATTGATGGTTATCAGCTTGTCTGGGAAGTAAAGATGGCCTGTGTGCAGTGTTGGCCACATTGCCACAATCATGCTATTGGTCATGAAATTGTGGAACCTCAACCTGGTCTGCAGTAGAACCCCCTGGTCTGCAGTAGACAGTTGTGGAACACTTTATTATAAAAACCTTACTTATAAATTGCAACTGCAAATGGCATTACAAATGAAAATTGTACATACTGCACTGCTGCCAATAAATTTGAAATTGATTAGCATTAGTGTTTATTCATCGACCCCTATATCGGAATGACCACTAATTATACTGTATCGACCCCTACTCTAGCCAAAGTCTGCATTAAGCAATGATTATTTTAATCAAGTTTGAAATCATAAATTCTGAATAAATTAACCTTTGTGTAAAAAATATATGATTACAGGAAAGAAGGTACAATATAGATGATTTGCAAAATTTACAACAAAAAAACTAATTTATTTTAATATTATAGTTACAAAATATATTGGTCTTTTCTGCACTGAAATTTAAATCAGTATTAATGATTTTATTATCAACCCGTAACTATTTATCATTTTATCTAATCATAACAGCCCATAAAGGGTGACAACCTAAATGTGCTACGATGAATAAATTTTCAAAAAAATTCTTAATTCTTTAATTATAAATATTGGTAAAACTTTATCAGATAGTTTGTAATTGCCATCTTTGAGGACAATAAAAAGCCGTGCATTTAAAATTACTAGGTGAAACCTAAAGAAAACTGCAATTTCTTAATTATAATGATGAAGTTAATAAGCAAAAATACAAAGATATACAATCATATAATCAAATGAGTACTAATACTCATTGAGAGTTCAATGGAACCATAAATTTGCCATTATTAACGACAGCGTCAATTTTCATCCAATGAGAGACCATTGTAGATTTAAGATTATAAATGATACGTATCACACAATGAAATCTAACTGCGTAATTCAAAAAAAAAAATCACTTTTGTATATTAAAGAGAAAGTTTGGTGAATGTTTGGAAAAGATATTTTTTAACATTAACAGATTTTTAAATCATGCAGTAAGTGCTCAAAATTATGATAAATGTGACAAAATAATCAAAGATTGTTTCAAAGAACTTTCAACTCCCTGCAGAATAATTTATGTCTAAGTTGCAATGAAAACTTTGTATGCTGTTAATCTTTGTAGTCGATTTTACATAATTCAATTAATACTTAATTATTCCTTAGTTTGGAATTTTAGCATCATGAAATTAGTGAACATTTTTTAAAAATGTTAATTTAACTAGTGAGAAATTATTGAATCATTTTAATGATGCCCACAAAAAATTTATAATTATCAGAAATTTTGTTACAGAACATTAGACATAATTCTACTTCTGGGTTACAGAATATTCATTACAAAAATTTTTAAAAAAAACTACATTACTTCTACAGAACTATTAACTGCAGAAATTTTTTAATGCATATTTTAAATTAATAGAAAGAAAATATAAAAGTGAAATTTAGGGGGGGGGGACTTATAATTAAAAATCAGTTTAATTTAAATATTAAAAGAAACTATGCTATGGGTAAGAGATAACTATGTTTTACCTGCCAGACTGTGAAAGAAGTTTAATTTCTTTAAGGAGTACTGCTACACAATCAGAAGCATGTCTTACTCTTTCAATACCCTGCATAGAATAATTTTATTAATTGCTAAAAATTAAAAAGAAGCTAGTTCATACATGAATAAAATCAAAAAAGAAAATGGATACAACAGGGTGCGTAGCCAAATTATTCAACAAAAAATAAGCACCCTTTAAGCACTTTTCAAGCACTCAAAAAATATTTTTAAGCACTTTACAAAGTATCATAATAAGGCAGGGTTGGAAAGTTTTTGACAATTGACGGTTTTATTTCGTTTTAATCGCCATGTCAAAAAAAAATTGGCATTGTTTTTGACAATTGTCAAAAATCATAAAATTTTTAATCATGTAAAATGAACGGCGTTTTCATACGCTACGGACTGACAATACGCCAAAATATATTGGGGTTAAATTAATTTTGAAAACATTGAATAGAACAATGCGAAATGTGTCCTTTCGCATAATTCGAAGCAAAAATCAACATAGTAAGGGAAAAATCTTATTTCGAAAAAGGGAAAATTAAGCCCTTTTTAAAAACATCCAATGAAAAAAGCACCTTTAAGAGCTTTTAAAAAACGAAAATTGAAAATAAGCATTCTTTAAAAATGCTACCCACCCTGTACATCTGTACAAGTAGGCACTAAACTACAATGAACATAAACCATTGCACATTTAAAAAATATTACAGTTCCCACATGAAAAAACACACTTCTAACATAGCATAATAGAAATTATTCAAGCAATTTAACGTTTGGAACAAACGCTTTTGAATATAGGTTAGGTAACATTTCAACCAAATTAGAAAAAAAGAGAAAATAAAATATTAATAACATTTCAAAATTAACTTTGAAAACCATTTTTTTAAATTTATTATATTTATAATAAAATCCTAAAATCAATTTGTTTAACGATTGATTTCATTCATCTGACTCATTATTGTACTGTACTACACAGTACTGTAGTTCAAGAAGCAATAAAAATTAAATCATTTATATAGTTCAAATCATAAACTTAAACAAAAAAAAATATTTACATGTTCAATAACATCTGTAAGAGGAGCTCCTGCTTCAGTAACTTCTCTTTTACTCCAAGTGTAGGATTTTGAAACTCGTAACTGCATAACATGATAGGAAACAAAATAAATCGATTAACTATAGTTTCATGAAAAACACCAACACAAAATTTTAGTGCAAAAACAATAAACCTCATTTTATGTAACTGTCTTAAACTAAGTATTTTATGCTTTCTAAAAATAAAATTAATCTTATTTTATCTTATGATTTAAGTTGAACAGCAGACCCATTTTTGAGTTTACGACTATCAATGTTCAACTCCGTAGCGTGGTAATTTTGAGCCTAACCCAAAAGACAAAGGAACTCCTGAAAAAAGTACCAGAAAAATTTTAACATTCATGGATGACTTTCTGATGGAACTAATTTTAGTCGTTTCTCTCCATGGAACTTTGCATTACATGGGGAGGAAAACCATGAAAACCTCCCGTGAACCGCAAAGGGATTCAAACTAATTATGCGTCTACCACTGAAGCATGGATTCTGTCAGCACTGTGATCAGTGCATTATCTCATTCAGTTTCAAACAGAAATTTGATAGGAAAACTCTCAAATTATGTAGAATGAGAGTTACTTCAGATGATAATTAGCAGAGAAACTTTTGCGGCTGATGGTGATGCTTATAAAAAGCAAAAATATAAAACACTTAACAGATTAATTCATAAAAGTACAAAAAATTGAAAACAAAAACATATTTGACAGCATTTAGAGGATGTGATAAAATTTCGAGGATGCTTTGAGAATCGTAACTAAAAATATTTCTCATAATAATTACGGTGCTAGAATAAGCAAAAAGAAAAATATATCATTAAGCCAAAAATGGTATTGATCTTTCGTGCAATGCATTTTTTCTCTTTTGTTATATTTAGCACATACATGCCTATTTTCATCAGGCTATGAAAAAAAATATAAAAGGAATTGAAACAATTGAAATTTAAAGAAAAATACCAATATGTTGGAAATCATAAAACCTATTAACTCACACAAAAATTAACCATTGCTATCCACTAACTATAAAAAGTTTTTGCCTGTCTGTATTATCTAGCAAACAGACGTCCAGTTTTTGAGATTTATTAATGTAGTCCTTATAGGTGCCAAAGGTTGAAGGACTTTTAATTTAATACAATAAACACAAAGGTGCCAACCAGTAATTGCAGAGCTATTTTTCAATAATAGACATAATTTTAAGTAGTGATATTTAAAAACAAACTACATTTAATTTAATTGCATATTATATATTTTTTTCCAAAATAGTACTTAAAAAGATTTGGAAAGCATTAATGGGAAACAAATATAATGATATACTGATTTGCCTACTTAATTTGTTTTCAGAATTTAACAAGTTTTTTGCCCGCATATATGTACTAATGCACATTATTGTATGTATGCACATTATTGTATGTATGTACATTATTGTATGTACCTAGAAATAAAACTTACATGACATACACATTTTATCACTAAAACAGATAAAAACTAAATCTCAAATGGCCCAAAAAGTGTTAACTACCTTAGATAATATTTACATTAATTAAAATGAGAAAACTGGATAATCTAAATCATATACAATAAAATAACTGATTCATGTAACCAAATGACAGGCAATTTAAAAAAAAATTATAAGAAACAGCTACTTAGAAAGTTAGTAGTCTCAGTAAGCTTCAAGATTAGTAACAAAGTTCATCAATAGAACTACTGTTGACTGAAAAAAGAATAAAACAATGTTTTACAGTTGCATGACAGATGACTTTAACTAAAATATTTGCATGAGCATAAGAAAATATCCTGAAGGAGCACCAAATTGTAGCTACAAATGGTAGTTATTCTAAATACATTTTGTAACAGCTTCCTGAGATAATTATCTTATTAAACAGGCAATCATTATAACTGTTTTTAAAACAATGAGGAAAAATTGTAATAATATTTCTTAACTTTGATTTAACTTTGTTTTTTTTTAAGATAGGTAAAACAGTGCACTAAATAAAAATATTTTTTTTAAACTTTTCTTTCTCTAAATTAATGTGTTTCTTCCCTTGAAAGGAACAATTACCTTAATCCATAAAATTGATAAATACTTTCTACAACACCCACTTGAGTTTCGAGAAATGTCAACAAATGTAAATTTGAAATAATTATGTGCAACTAACTTTAATATAAAAATTAATTTAAAAAAACTAGTAAGAAACTAAAAAAATAAAAAAAATACATAATTACATCAAGTTCTTCGAGCAGTGAAGAATTTTGAGATTTGAAATGTTGTAACCACAAAGCTGAGTCAACAGGTAGGTCAATTCTCCTTTCTTTATATTGAGAATCTACAACTTCTTTGACATGTTTTGTCCATCTGGAAGCTAAAGAAGTGATTAAATAATACAGACTATGCTACTTTGTGTCAAGTTAACTTTGTAGAATAACAGACATAAAAAAACATTAGTTACTTGAATTTTTAAGAACTAAAATTGAAAATAATGATATTAAAAATGAAAATCTTCCCAACGTGTAAGAAGTGCAACTCTAAACCTACTTCCCCCTAATACATTTTCGATTGTCTAGAATTTTCCTTAGTGGACATTCTCTTACGATCAATTTTAGTTTGTGACGTTTGGACTCATGGATTTGATACAGCAGAGGCTATATTGTAAAGGATTGGAAACAACAATAAAACGAGAGTATTATTATTGATAATTTCTTATACAAAAACTTTTTATTCAATGCTTAATTCAATTCAATGTACAGTACAGAACCCGTTATCC